GGTATCCGCAATTGACAACACTGGTTGTTGCTTACTAGGGGTTATGCTGTCGTGATTTGGACGACGCGGGAAAGGAATTTTTGTCCTCAGCTTAAAGTCAAGATTAGGACAAAAGTTGGCGTATGTGTCAGAATTCGTGGGTGAATCTTGCGCGAATGTGGTCTGACCTTGAGTGGCATTTGATGTCCAGTTAGGCAAAATTGTTTTCGAACATTGACCCAAATCCAGACTAGGTTAGACTGGTTTTTAATGTATTATTTTTTTTCTTTTTTTTTTCCCCTTTAACTTAGCTAGGGTATGTAAGCTCATTGGTCCCTTTTATTTCTGTCCCTATTTTTTTTACTTTTGTTTAATTCCCCATCCCCAAAGACGTTAGGTGGTTAGTGATGTCAGTTTTCTGGTGGATGCGGGGCGCCTTTCGTTTCAAACGTGTGTTTTCGTATTTGTTGTTGTGTATGAATGAATGAGTGTTTGTGTGTATGCTTGATGGTCTGAATGTGTAATCATTTTCTTAGTCCCGCATCGATTTCGTCTAGTTAACTGACATTTCTGCCACATTCATAGTTTGTGGGGGGGTTTTTATTACTAACTCAGTTTTGTTTAGTTTTTTATTGTAAATATTTAGTCCATTCTGTAAATACATTTTTGGGGATTTTTTTAAAATTGTTATTTTATGACCCTCCCCCATGAACAATATTTGTATATAAGGGGACTAGTTAGGACGTTGCATAGAGAAATTGAGGTATTATGGTGGACGTAGTAAGAAAGGTAGGAGTGAATGTGATGTTTTGGTGATTGGAATATTGTTGGTATGTTTGGGTCAGTGTCTGTGACTAGCTAAGTTTAGATTTAAGACAGATGAAGACCGTCATTCCCCATCCCCTTTTGGCCTTGTGCCACATTTTGTTTTTTAATAAAAATAAATATTGCCCAGAGAGATGTCAGCGTTAGCAGTCCAGATAAGTTTAACAATAAATACATACCGTTGGACTATAGACTTTTCGGCTGTTTCGTACTAACCAACCATCGTTTTACTTAAAGAATCACTCTATTGTTAATTGCTTTTATGAATATACCAGTATTTTCCTGGACAACTGTGTTTGTTTTGATTCAATTACACCGACACGCGAAATTTTTACAAATTTTGATCAACAGAAAGAAAAACCAAGTTTAAAGCAAACATAAAATACAAAGATGTTTATATTGATGATATCAATAATCGTTAGCAAAAGTGGTAGATCCCAAAATAACAAATCGCATTAACCGGAAATAAAAAAATCAAACAATCACAAAATTTAAATATCTTTATGGATGTTCTAACATGGACGGAAAAAGTTACACTGAAAATATTTTAGGCTTATTGGGATCTTTCAATCCAAAGATGCATGATTTAAAAAAGATTATAGCCATTAAGAGACATAATATAATCGTTAGAAAACCCCGGAAAAGGATACTTTCTGTTATCCCAAATTATATCCTGTTCTCTTATGTGCTAGTGGAAACATCCTAAAAGATTCTCCGGTCAACAACTCTCTTACTTGGTTACACAGAAATATATATTCTATATATATATGCTATATATATATATGTATTGTTTACCAAACATTTTTTTATAATGACGAGTTCTTGGAGAAATGATAACAAAATAAAAACTTATACAAAAAACCATTTCCTAACGATTTACTATGTATTTTTAAAAAAAAACCCTCCCCACCTCGAAAAAAAAACCTGTATCCTAAATGTCTCTTCCCCAGGCGTTAGTGATGTCTTTGTATTTCTATGGTCCTGTGGCCTTGTTTTCGCTTGATAAATATTTTATCTTAAACAGAATTTAAGATTAAATATTTGTATTCTCCTCGTGGTTTAAAATTTTCAAAAATAAATTTTCCCAAGCCCACTTTTTTCATATATAGCTTATATATATATATGTTTGTATAGTTGGAAATTATATCATATATGATATATCAGGAAGATATATATATATAATAGATATAATAAAATAAATACGTATGAATATTATATATATATATATATATATATAATATATATATATATATTTATATATATATAGTAGTTGCTTTTGGTGCGTCTCTGGTAGAATGAATTTATACTCAAAATATTGCATAAAGTTAATGTCCGCTTCCATTCTGGTGGACGCCAGTGATTGTATATATATAGCCATATCTCATTTACCAAGCGTCAAATATAATAACAGATAACGCAGTGCTGGGAGGGGGAAGTGGTCAGTGAGCATTCCTACCCTTCATATAGTGGGCTTAAAAATTTGCTTTAATAAAATATTTTTACCACGAGGAGAACAACGGCTCAAATTGCATCAAAACATGATTCTGTTAATTTTTCGGTCTCCCGTCCAAGAATGTGCATCTGAGGTCTCATTTGCCGGGGTTAAAATCTGGATTCGACCGTTTTCATCCCTAAACAAATTTAAATGTCAATGTCGCAGAATATTCCTTTGATTGAATATCTTTGCTTGCTCAGTCCGCCACCCATTGAAATCATGGCACATATTTCGTATCAACATGTCGGACTTTAATAGAAAATGCCTCCGCCCGTAACGTTTGTATTTATTTGTCCTCAATTAAAAGCTAAAGTCATTGTTTTTTACTGCTCGCATTAGACGAATAGATTTGTTTCATTGCAAATTTGGCTATATAAAGATATATATATATAAAAAGCAAGAACAGTCCTGAAAATAAAAACCCTCCATACCTTTTTTTTACAAAATAGTTCGAGGTAAATTTAAGAACATTAATCCTCTACCGAATTGGCTGAATGCTTTGCGCGGAAATTCTCATTTAAAAATCAACACTCGAAAAAAACCGGTGTAATCATTGTTTTTCAGACTTCCCTCCTATATACTAATATATATATAGCTTAACATATATATCATTGGTAAATCAAGCATTATTCCAACTTAGAAAAGAAAAGGCTAAGTGGAGATGGCAAAAAAAGGAGAATTGTCTTCAAAAAAAATGCGCGCCTGAGCTAAATGAAAAACCAAAAACTAAACTGTATTCATTACAATCTCAAGGATTTTGTCATAAAATTTTTCCAATGGACTGCTGGAAGTTCTCATCCATTGGAATAAAGAAGAAAAAAATGGAAAAGATACTTAATCTGGAATTACCGTCCTAAAAAAAAAAAGCCTAAAAAAAAAAAAATGGTTAATCTTCGAAGCCCTAATCAATCTGTTTTCTGTGGTTAATCTAGTGGGACATTTTAAAATCTGCTTAAAATTCTACGTAGAAAACGATTGTGACATTATTTCGAAACAGGATTGTCCTCAAGGCTCGCAACAGACTATCATCAAAAACCGTTGGTTTAACCTGAACATTCAAATAACGGTGTCAGTTGAGACTTGTTGTAGCCAAACATCTATGATAAGGTTTCGCCTAAATGCGTTTGATAGGGTTTGAAACCCCCGTGCAGTTTCTTCTTTACAGGAAAATTACAGGTCAGACCAAAACCTGGTTGCTACTGGTCGACTGTTTGATCTAATACAATCAAAAGTAATGCAAACCGAGAATTGAAGGTCAATTCTCAAATTCTCCACCAGTTCCTATCCCACGAACGCAGGTGTTCCCCCAATTCCCCATATTCACCCCACTCTTTTTTTTTATTTTCATCAACGAAAACCCTGACGCCATAGATTCAATCCTGGCATCTACGCGGACGACAATACAATTTATCCTGCCTCAAAAAAATCTAGTGTCGGCGACAAAAAAAACAAGTTATTATAAAATTTAAATGGACCTCAATCGGTTGTTTAAATGAGGGGCAAGAGTTGGCTGGTCAACTCTAACAAACTAAGATCAAAATAAATCAAATAACTGATGCTAACCACCATAGAAAGAGATCCTTTCCCTGCCCCCATTAAAATGTCTGATAGTCAACTTCTTGAGAGCAACTCCTATCGTCTGCTCGGTCTCACGTTGACTGCTGACCTGAGATGGAACAAATACATTGAGTCAATTCCTTCTTCCACCGCGAGAAAAGTTGGCTCTCTGTGCCGCGCCAGGAAATTTTTTTTCCCCTGAATTTTTGCGATACTTCAAATATACAAAAAACCATTCGCCCTTGCATGGAGTATTGCTGCCATATATGGTCTGGGGCACCTTCTGTTTACCTCGGAGTTCTTGACAAGATCCAGAGACGGATATGTAATATCATTGGCCCTGATCTGGCGTCTCGTCTGTAGTCACTCTCTCACAGACGCGACGTCGCCTCTCTCTGTCTTTTCTACAAATACTTTCATGGTAATTGCTCCGATGAGCTGCTTTCACTGGTTCCCAGACTTCATGAATTCAAGCGCCCTACGAGGCTGGCATCCCGCTCTCACCCTTACACTGTAGAAACTTTTAAATGTAGCCGTCTCTTCTACTCCAATAGCTTCATACCTCGCACCTCTCGCCTGTGGAACACCCTTCCCAATTACTGTTTCCCCGAGAGCTATAATCTCCAACTATTCAAATGTAATGTCAGTCGACATCTCCAGTTACCTTGATCTACCCACTATCCATCTCCTCATCCTTTCTTCTATCACTCCTATCTGCTCTCGCTCCAAATCTTCCGCAACCCCCCTCCATCCTAGTGGCTTCACGCCTTGCTCGGGGCGCAATGCTTAAAAAAATTTAATTTAAATATTGTAATTAACAATAACAAAAAGAACATTTTCCAGACTGTCGTGCCTGAGGTAACAGGAAGCAAGTAGGGACGCGAAGGTGTAATGGCGTCGAGTAAGTGACGTTGGGTTCGACGAGGAAGTTGGTTAGATTGTAGGATTTTTTTTTCAGAACATGCGTACAAGTTTTTAAGAAAAACGACTTGTTTGCTGCTTTCATTCTTGCCTTGTCAAAGATTGTCTTAATGACCTCCAAGAACGTCCCTCGCATTAAAAAAAAATACAAAAATAAAACAAACTGTGCCACTAACAAATTAAAATTATGCGATATCCGGCTGTAATAATATCAGTAAATATTTTAGAAGTCATCAGATATAGAGTTGTGTTGGTAACAAGTCTGCAAATAACAACAGGAATACAGAAGACAAATTATCTGTAGTATCAGCATAAGAAAGAACGATACGCCAGTCGCCATGATATGCTGTTCAGCCCACCTGTAAGCAGCTCCGGCGCAGTCGGCCTTGTGAAAGTTGTCAGTTGGAATTGCGTCGATACCACAATCGACACTGTAGTTAATACAGCAAGAATCTGGAAGAGAAGAGTTGCTAAAGTACAGGAACCATTCCTGGAAGTGTTCGACGCCGCAACATTCCAAGTCCTGCTGAATGGAATTCCAAGTGGAGTTGGCGAAATAATCGCGGTTGTACGCAGATTCTGCAGAACGTAGAATTTCCGGAACCAGGCTGAGGAGGCGAGACTTATTGGCGTAGAATGTCACACCGACGACGAGTTGGGTGACTATCAGAACAGATAGGAGACAGACGTACGGGAACAGGAGTAAGCGATTTCGACAGTAAAAGCTAGCGAATGAAATAAGCATCGCTAAGGAAAGAAAGACGCCAAGGGTCGTCAGGAAAGCGACTGGGATGCCGACATATTCAATAAACAGACTGTAGCCATCGTTCAAAAGATTTTCGATTTTGACACCAAGAAGTAACAAGAACAAGGAATAAGCCAAAATAGAGATATTTAGAAAAAACATTAAATACTGAATCAACATCTTATAATAATTATTCTGTCCCTCCTCATAAAAAAAAATCGCTTAAGTGCTGCTGGTCAAATAAATATAGGTAGCTTTTTTAAAAAAAGAAAAATTCGTAAAAAATGGCTGCTCAATTATATTTCAACCATTTTGATTGGAAGCTTAATCTGTGATATGCAAATAAATTTTAGAACAACTTAAAAAATTAGTCTTTATTTATGCTAAAAGTTTTTTTTTCCATCAAAGTTAACTTAGCTAGGGTATGTATGCTCATTGGCCCCTTTTATTTCTGTCCCTATCTTTCTTTAAGTTTAATTTCCCATCCCCTCCCTCGTTAAGTGGTCAGTGATGTCAGTTCTCTGGTGGATGCGGGGCGCCTTTCGTTTCGCGTGTGTGTTTTTCGTATTTGTTGTGTATGAATGAGTGTGTGCCTGTGTGAATGCTTTGGAGGAATGAGTGTGTCCTTCATTTTCATAGTCCCGCATCGATTTCGTCTGGTTAACTGATATTTCTGCCACATTTAAGGCTTGTGGGGTTTTTTTTATTACTAACACCATTTTGTTTAGTTTCTTGTAAATATATTATGTCATATTGTATATACTCATTGGGGATCTTTTTAAAAATTGTTGTTTTTATGCCCCTCCTCCCACAGACAATATTTGTACATAGGGGGACTATTTAGGACTTTCATTGAGACAATGAGGTATTTTGGTGGATGTCGTAAGAAAGGTATGGATAAATGTGTTGTTTTGGTGATAGGAATATTGTTTTGTATGATAGGGTCAGTGGTTGTGGCTAGCTAAGTTTTATATTAAGACAAGTGATGACCGTACTTTTCCCCAACCCCCTTTTTGGCCTTGTGCCACATTTGTTGTATATTTACAGCAGTAAATATTGTCAGTGATGTCAGTTCTCTGGTGGATGCGGGGCGCCTTTCGTTTCGAGTGTGATTTTCGTATATGCTGTTGTGTCTGTTTAAGTGTGTGTTTGTCTGAGTGCTAGGGATGAATGAATATTTTATATTATTATAGTCCCGCATTGATGTCGTCCAGTTAACTGACGTTTCTGCCACATTTAAGGATTGTGATTTTTTTTATTACTAACATTATTTTGTTTAGTTTCTGGTAAATAAATTGTATTCATATTGTAAATACACATTGGGGTAGGTTTTTAATTGTTATATTTATTTCCCCTCCCCTCACAGACAATGAATAATACATATAGGGACTATTTAGGATTTTCATAGAGACAACGAGGTATTATGGTGGATGTCGTCAGAATGCGTTGTTTTGGTGTTAGACATATTGTTTGTATGTTTGGGTTAGTGTTTGTGGCTAGCTACGTTTAATATTAAGACAGAAGAAAACTGTCCTTTTCCCCAATCCCTTTTTTGGCCTTGTGTCACATTTTCTGTATTAATACGGAAATATATATCACTTACGGTATGTATGCTTTTTCAATTTTTTTCAAGCTTTTCACCCCAAGCTAGGCAGGAGTGCCACCAGCAGGCAGGCAAGGGGTTACAGAGAGTGAGAGCGAGAATAAAGAGGCGTGAGCGAGAAAAGAGTGAAGAGAAGAATGGGGAATAGATCAAGGCATGTCGATTGACATTGCATTTGAATAGTTGGAGATTTTAGCTATCAGGGAAGCAAGTAAGTGGAAGGGAGTTCCACAGATAGGAAGTGCGAGATATGAAGCTATTGTAGAAGTGACGGCTACATTTAACCGTTTCGACAGTTTCATTGGCCCCTTTTATTTTTAACCCCACTTTCTTTGTCTAATTCCCCCTTCTCCGTTAGGTGATCAGAGATGTCAGTTATCTGGTAGATACGGGATGCCTTTCGCTTTTCGGGTGTGATTTTTTTTATTTGTTGTTGTGTTTGGATGAGGGTGTGTTTCTGTGAGTGTTAGGTCGTCTTCATGATGTTTTTCGTTATTTAAGTTCCGCATTAATTTCGTCCGATTAACTGATATCTCTGTGATTGGGGGAAGTTTTATTACTAATACTGTTTTGTTTCTTGTAAATAAATTTTGTTTACCATTGTAATATATAGATTGAAGTTTATATATATATATATATATATATATATATATATATATATAAATAAAAGAAGAACAGTAAGATATATAATCCGTTGTTCTTATTGATATTTTTATTTTTGCATAACAGTGCTCAGTGTAAATTTACAGAGCATAAATATTATAAATTAACTGATTTAAAATATGGTTTCTTCGCTACACAGTAATAACCATGTTTCAAAAACCGATGCTAAAAAATTCAAATTTAATTATATAATTGAATTAAAAGCATTAGTTCTGTTTCATCTTCAAGCGAATTTTGAAATAACTTATTTTTAAATTTACTGAGTTTAAACGCATACATAAATTCATAATTTCCTGTAATCCAATCATTTAGACTGGGGCGGTAGTGTGTCCATTTTTATTAACTATTGTTGTATCAATTATGAGTTACGTTTGAAAAAGAGGCTAAGTTTAGGGAGGGTAGAGGTGCATTTTTAAATGTGTGACTATCATTTTTAAATTGTTTTTTTTTTTAAATACTTTTAGTTTCTATACATTTGATTAGAATTTGTATCATCTCTCAACACGTTCATTTGTTTCGTAGTTGTACGTTCGTCATTTTGATGATTTTTTGTGTACAAAATTGTTTTTAATACCTAACCACTTTACTGTTCCCTGTCTTTCACTCTAATTCCTAACCCTAAACTTAAACCCTAACCTTAATCCCTAATAGAAAATGAATAGTAGACATCAAACTATAGTAGAAAATTGACGGAACTATACTAGCATCGAATATTGTAGTTTGTCTGGGTCAATGATTGTGGCTAGATAAGTTAAAGATAAGAAAATTTGAAGACTACATTTCTTTCATATAACCTGAATAAATATCGCTTACCCGATCATTACAATGTTAACTTCTTCAAGTCTAGGGTTAACTGTTATCTTTTCTATATAACGGCAACGGCTACAGTTGCCTCTTTGTACATTATGATATCTATCGAGGCATTTGCGACCTACCGTAAAATGGATGGTAGATATTATGTGTCCAGAAAAGAAAACACTTGTTCAAACACAAGAAAAATTAAATAAAAAGCTTAGTCGCAATATCTTGTCTGTCGTCTTTCACGTAACATGTATAAAAGAGGGATTGCTGTCTAAATTAAGGAAATTAAAGAATTAAATTTTTTCGAGGATTTTGACGAGTCTTTCCTTTTTTTTTCAGACAAACATTTCGAACATCAAAGAAATACACCACCCCAGTTGACCCGAACCAAAAAAAAAAAAAAAAAAATTGAATTGTCTATTGCAAAAAATTTAAAACTGCTAACCTTATCCTAAAAAATAACACACAAAACTAAAAGAACGAACATTATTTTACGGGTTCAAATGCCCCTTAAGGAACTGCGTTCCTGATCGAACCAAACATAAATAATTACACCGGTCACAGTCCTATCTGACGACAGCTCCATTAGAACCTATTTAAACGCACACGGCGCCATTCGAAACATATCAGTAGAAAATGCAAGTATAACAACCTCATCCCCATGTGTTAAAATAAAAAAAAATACAAATAATGGATGAACTAATAATAAAAACAAAAAGGCAACACTGAATAACATTAACTATGAACACGGCCACAATGTGCTGACAGTGTTTGGAAAATAAAACATTCCTACAACTATAGATACATATACACAACCCATACATTCAGTTAAAAAATTAAAATAAGATAATCCTTGATAATGTCTAAACGTATAGCCGAAAGAGCTCGAAAATGCAGAACATTTTATCAGTTTTTTTATTCTTTTTCACACATTTTTTGTCCAGAAAAGAAAACACTTGTTCAAACAAAAGAAAAATTAAATAAAAAGCTTAATTGCAGTACCTTGTCTGTCGTCTTTAACGAAACATGTATAAAAGAGGGATTTCTGTCTAAATACATTATGTATGTATTTGAGTGTATACACACACACACACGATACCCAATAAAAAAAGAGGCAAATTTATTCTTCAAGAAAATACACCAGCTCTAATTGATCCATCTCAGTGGCCCTCTAAAAACCCAGATTTGAATGTTATGGATGTCTGTATCTGGAGTTTACGGCTCGCTCACTTGTAAAACCGTCGTCGTGATTCATGTAGGTGTAACTTAAGTGAAGCTTGTAATGAAATCCTTCTTGATACTCTCCGCAAAGCCACTGGCTCCTACCTGCTTACAACTTTGTGCTGAACATTCAGACAAACATTTCAAACATCAACGATGATTGTCCAGTGTGTGCATAAATCTTGATAGCTAAATAATGTTTTTTGTAATTTACCGATTTTTTTTTTTACTGGGTACCCTGTGCGTGTGGAGGGGATTGATTGGGGACCCGGAGCGGTACTTTGTCAACAAGAGAAAACACAAAAGTTCACATACTGTCCGAGATCATCGTAAGCCTTTCACACGCTTTTTAAATAATGTTTTACACACAGTTCCGAGGCGTACTATTCCCAAAACATTCGATCAAGGGTAGGATAATTGATTGGGGGCCCTGGGCAGTACTTTGTGATATCTGCTATTCATTTTCTACTAGGGTATGGCATAAAACAACCTCATTCAAAAACCATCTACCTCTCAGGTCTTGTATTGGGTAAATATTAGTAAAAAATATATAAGAAACACACAGGTCTTAATATTCCAAATTTAGTCCTCAGCGTAATCTTCTTCCTTCAAATCTGGTTGGTAAATAATGTCCGTTTTTCTTAAATTCCAAAGATTTAATACTAGAAGCCGAAAAAGCATTCCAAACTCTGCGTCTCAATAGAGCAACGTTTTTCCTCGAATTTTGATATTCAACCTGAATTTCGAATGAAGCCATAACTACACCTGGCTTGTAGTAGCTTTTTTGGATACATTCTTAGCTTTTATCAACTTGTCATCGCTGGAGGACAGTTATCAGTTGAAATCTTTTTTTTCATAGTCCGTGAGAGATGAA